CCCCCCCCCCCCCCAAACAGAACCCGTATCCTTCTGATCCCAAGAATAATGTCACAGGAGATGGACTACTCCAACAGCCAACCCGAGCCCAGCACTCTAGCTGTGCCCCCTCCCAGCTCAAGAAGATTAACTCCATCCCAGCCAAAACCTGGACACCTGGTAAAGGTTACGATGAGAAGAGGGCACACACACACTGATCTGGAGCAGGGAGGCTCAGAGAGCCTTGGCAAGATAAATTTCATAGAAACACTGAAATACTGGTTGCAAAGGCGGCTCCAAAGGTTTCCAGTCCAGCTTCCCATAGGACTATCACCGGCAGGTCAAGCCATGGCCTGTCTTGTTGCAAAAAACTGGTGCACAGCCACCCAAAGAAATGCAGAGCTAACGGGTGCCAAAAGTCAGCTCTGTAAAGAAATAAAGTACCTCCAGGATTGTAGGGAAGAATAAAAAGAAAGGAAAGGCTCTTTAGAAACAGTGCGGACACTTGCAACCACTCCATGAAAATAAAACCGTTATTGCCAGGGTGCCAGTTATCACAGACACCAATATTACTGATAACACCGTGGATTTGACACAGCCTCGAATAGAGGACTTAAAGCATGAAATTTCCTTTCAAAGCCACTCCTATTGCCTACTGCAATCAAGCCAGCCAGCATGAGGAAAAAAAAAACCAAACCCACCTGACTTCCTTTTCAGCCCTTGAGTTTAATTCTACTAAGACACTTTTTAGAATTCCCACTGTAAACTGGCACTGTCTTCCTTCAAAGAGCTTTATCAGAAGAGTGCAGTCTTAGACATACTCACAGTAACCTTCCTGATACGCCCCGGAGGTCACCGTAGCAGTGTAGGGCAGCTGACGTGGACTTTATCGTAACTGCTCTGAAGCAGGTTAAGTTTACTGTTTTTCAGGATTTGGGAAATAAGGAAGTTTACCATAGACATTGCACTTTCCCTCAGATAGGAACATTCTCTTCCAACCCCCACACTCAGAAGAACACCAGTGCAGGAACACTTGCATTTAGTCTGAAACACTCCGGGACTTGCACCAAGAACTTTTCTGTTTTGTCTCCTGTGGGCCATTCTCTGGGGTTCAGCTCCCTTAAAAATGCACATTCAGCTTGTGGTTTGCACTACTCCAGATACACACTGCTTTTTAGAAAGAGACAGAGCAGGAATATGAAGCTTGACCAGTACACAAAGTTCTGATGATATACTGATCAAACCTAACTCAGGAAAAAGAAAAATATATATTGCTTATACAAAGCAATCTTTGTTTTCAAATGCTGCACTGCATAGAATTTGTCTGACAGCCCTATGCATGGCCACAGGCCCCCTTTATCCACTCCACTTCTCACCATAGCACAACCAGGCCCAAGTACGCATGAAATTATCTAGACCAGAAGAAAAATCTATTTGCAATCCATTATTCGCTTCCTTATAAGTTAACAGAATTCACCTGGAAAATTCACCAAGAAAAACAACATTTCATTACCGTATTCAAATGAGGAAGAGATCAGGCACACTTACAGGGCTGGTCCTATGTGTGGAAGCTGCTGACACTTTCAGTGCTCTCCACCTTCTTAGACTTGATAAAGAAGTCCTCTTAAGGCTCTCCTGCTTATAATGTTGTAACTGCCTATCCCAGAAGGCAAAACAGTGCAGAAAACAAAAAGAAGGCAGAGGTTCTCTGAGAATGCCATGGTCCACGTGACCTTTCATCAAGTAATCATCCTCCTGCAGTAACTGTCCTTCACTGACGTCTTGCCAAGTGATACCAATTCATTTTACCAGTGATACACATGTTCTTCTCAAATGAAAAGCGTTTTTTGCTCCCAACAACGTTTCTGAGAAGTCCCAAATTTCATTCTGTAGCCTAGCCATTGCTGCACATAATATCCATCAGGAAGGCTCTATAGAGATTCTTGATAATGGTATTTTGCAGAAGTATGGTTGCCTTTCTTATCTGGAAGAAAGGAAGCATGTGGTGACAGGATGTTACACTTTATGCTTCTGCTTTAACCCATTGCCCAATTACAGCCAGACCCGCAGGTGATGTTCACATCAATCTTTGAAGAATTTGTGTTTTAGGATCTGTATTTTCTCATGTGTGCAGCAATAGAAGCAGAAATCTCAGCGCTCCTCTTATTCTGGCCATAATAGTCCACAAAGTCACCATCTGGCCCCAGGAGGTACATTACTATTGTGTGATCCACCTGCAAGAAAGCACATTATGGCTTGATAAAAGAGATCACAGAATATCAGGCTGAAAGGGACCTCAGGATCATCTAGTCTAACCTTTCCTGGCAAAAGCCCAGTCTAGACAAGATGGCCCAGCACCCCATCCAACCAAATCTAAGCGTCCAACGTTAGGGAATCCATCACTTCCCTGCGGAGATTATTCTAACAGCTGATTGTTCGCTTTGTGAAAAATTTTCCTCGGGTCCACTTGGAATCTCCCCAGGAGTAACTTCGACCCATTATCCCTCATCTTTTCCATGTCACCCTTTGTAAAATGGGAGTATCCATCTTCTTTGTAGCCACCCTTTAAATACTGGAACATCCTGCTCATCTCTAGTCAGCAGCACAGTGTCCCACTCAGCCTTTGGTTCAGCTGTCTGACAAGACTTCTCACCAAGAAGCTAAAGCAAGATAAGGAAAACCTCAGCATCACCCCAGCGATCTCTTCTTGTTTTACTCAGGAAAATAAATAGAGAAAACTAACTCCATACTCAGCATGTGAGAACTGTTTTGCGGAGAAATCACTCCATAAATTTTGGGGTTATAAAGAGGGTATGTTTATTCAGCGCTGGGCGCATGGGGGATCGCTCCACCACAAGCATGCGCACCGTCTGCAGCTCTCGTCCGGCTTATATGTTACAAAATAGTGCATATTCATAAAACGCCTATACATATACATAGTCTACCCCCGCCTCCCCTCGCTTCTCATGGTAATCAGGTCTCCTCTTCTTCTTCGCTGATGAACTTTTCTCCTTATCGCTCTGCGCAGCCTCAGTTGTTCTCTGGCTTTCTTCCAGTCCAATGTTTTGGGGTTGTCTGTTTTTCAGAGACTAGGAGGGACTTCTCTTTGGGCTAGGAGTTAATCGCCTAGCAACGTTATCAGTACTTGGTATGTCTTTTTCGAACAATCCCATACGCCTCCCCTTGTTTTTGCGCAGGCCTTGCACCATCAATCTAAGATTGTTTAGACTCCCTGTCTCATTCCCCCCTTTTCTTCTTACTTAGTAAATTCTTTTACTACTTATTTATCTACTTCTTAATCTATTTCCCTTGCCCTATAATATGTTAGTACTATCCTACAAATTAGTTAGTTTATTGCTTAAAGCTTGGATTGTGATATAAAGCATCATACATAGCTTACAAGCGTTTTGTAAGTCTCCAGATTCATAACAAGATTGCTACAGATATTAATAAAGCAACCACTGGGTGAAGGGCAGTGTTTAAGATTCCAGTAGTTGTCGGCGACCATCCGAAGAGTGTATCCCACCAATTATGTTTCCCTTCCTGCTCAACCATCTTTAAGACCTTTTTTATCCTTTCCCCATCATGAAAGATTGTGAGCAAAGTTTCTTGCCCTTTTTCCTTAACTTCTTCCAGTATCCGGTGTAAGTCTGGGTGTTTTAATAAGCTTTCTATATGACTGACATTTAAGCCTATGGGGACAGGATGTACCTTTACCCTGAGGCTGCTTTTCAAGAGGGGATGTGTAACTACTGGGGCAGTATAAGTGAAATCGCACCCCAGGATGATGGTGAAATTACAAATACAATAATTTAGATGCTGTATCAATTTCTTCT